TAGCAAGGCAGTGGTCATCTTGCAGGTGTGTTTGGGGTCATTATGTTGGAATACTGGCCTGCGGCCCAGTCTCCGAAGGGAGGGGATCATGCTCTGCTTCAGTATGTCACAGTACATGTTTAAAAATAATGATAAAATGGTAAAATTATAGACTACTAAAATGGTATTACACAAGATAAATATAAATATAGGTATAGATATGAAGGTAGCACTCGGTATTGGCAACAGTCCCAGGAATAGAAATATGTTAAAGTAATTATGAAGCACTATTACTTTAACATACAGTGGGGATCGAAAGTTTGGGCACCCCAGCTAAAAATTTGTATTAATGTGCATAAAGAAGCCAAGGAAAGATGGAAAAATCTCCAAAAGGCATCCAATTACAGATTAGACATTCTTATATGTCAACAAAAGTTAGATTTTATTTCCATCATTTACACTTTCAAAATAACAGAAAACAAAAAATGGCATCTGCAAAAGTTTGGGCACCCTGCAGAATTTATAGCATGCACTGCCCCCTTTGCAAAGCTGAGACCTGCCAGTGTGATGGATTGAACTCAGTCATCGTCTGGGAAGACCAGGTTATGTCAAGCTCAAAGGTTTTAATGCCCAGACTCATCTGACCTTGCCCCAACAATCAGCACCATGGGTTCTTCTAAGCAGTTGTCTAGAAAACTGAAACTGAAAATAGTTGATGCTCACAAAGCTGGAGAAGGCTATAAGATAGCAAAGCGTTTTCAGATGTCGATATCCTCTGTTCGGAATGTAATTAAGAAATGGCAGTCATCAGGAACAGTGGAAGTTAAAGCAAGATCTGGAAGACCAAGAAAAATATCAGACAGAACAGCTCGCAGGATTGTGAGAAAAACAATTCAAAACCCACGTTTGACTGCACGATCCCTCCAGAAAGATCTGGCAGACACTGGAGTTGTGGTACACTATTCCACTATAAAGAGATACTTGTACAAATATGGTCTTCATGGAAGAGTCATCAGAAGAAAACCTCTTCTATGTCCTCACCACAAAAATCATCGTTTGAACTTTGCAAATGAACATATAGACAAGCCTGATGCATTTTGGAAACAAGTTCTGTGGACCGATGAGGTTAAAATTGAACTTTTTGGCCGGAATGAGCAAAGGTACGTTTGGAGAAGAAGGGGCACAGAATTTAATGAAAAGAACCTCTGTCCAACTGTTAAGCATGGGGTTGGATCAATCATGCTTTGGGGTTGTGTTGCAGTCAGTGGCACAGGGAACATCTCACGACTAGAAGGAAAAATGGATTCAATAAAATTTCAGCAAATTTTGGATGGTAACTTGATGCCATCTGTGAAAAAGCTGAAGTTAAAGAGAGGATGGCTTCTACAAATGGATAATGATCCTAAACACACCTCGAAATCCACGGGGGATTACATCAAGAGGCGTAAACTGAAGGTTTTGCCATGGCCTTCACAATCTCCTGACCTCAACATAATTGAAAATCTATGGATAGACCTTAAAAGAGCAGTGCGTGACAGACAGCCCAGAAATCTCAAAGAACTGGAAGACTTTTGTAAGGAAGAATGGGCAAAGATACCTCAAACAAGAATTGAAAGACTCTTGGCTGGCTACAAAAAGCGTTTACAAGCTATGATACTTGCCAAAGGGGGCAGTACAAGATATTAACTCTGCAGGGTGCCCAAACTTTTGCAGACGCCATTTTCTTGTTTTCGGTTATTTTGAAAATGTAAATGATGGAAATAAAATCTAACTTTTGTTGACATATTATAAGAATGTCTAATCTGTAATTTGATGCCTTTTGGAGATTTTTCCATCATTCCTTGGCTTCTTTGTGCACATTAATACAAATTTTTAGCTGGGGTGCCCAAACTTTCGATCCCCACTGTATGTCACAGTACATGTTGGCATTTATAATTCCCTCAATGAACTGTAGCTCCCCAGTGCCGGCAGCACTCATGCAGTCCCAGACCATGACACTCCCACCACCATGCTTGACTGTAGGCAAGACACACTTGTCTTTGTACTCCTCACCTAGTTGCCGCCACTCACACTTGACACCATCTGAACCAAATAAGTTTATCTTGGTCTCATCAGAGCACAGAACATGGTTCCAGTAATTCATGTCCTTAGTCTGCTTGTCTTAAGCAAACTGTTTGCGGGGCTTTCTTATGCATCATCTTTAGAAGAGGCTTCCTTCTGGGACGACAGCCATGCAGACCAATTTGATGCAGTGTGTGGCGTATGGTCTCAGCACTGACAGGCTGACCCCCCACCCCCTTCAACCTTTGCAGCAATGCTAGCAGCACTCATACATCTATTTCCCAAAGACAACCTCTGGATATGACACTGAGTACGTGCACTCAACTTCTTTGGTTGACCTTGGCAAGGCCTGTTCTGAGTGGAACCTGTCCTGTTAAACCACTGTATGGTCTTGGCCACCGTGCTGCAGCTCAGTTTCAGGGTCTTGGCAATCTTCCTATAGCCTAGGCCATCTTTATATAGTGCAACAATTCTTTTTTCAGATCCTCAGAGAGTTATTTACCATGAGGTACCATGTTGAGCTTCCAGTGACCGGTATGAGAAAGTGAGAACGATATAACCTAATTTAACATACTTGCTCCCCATTCTCACCTGAGACCTTGTAACACAAAAGAGTCACATGACACCAGGGAGGGAAAATGGCTAATTGGGCCCAATTTGGACATTTTCACTTAGAGGTGTACTCCAGCTGTTGCCAGCAGTTTAGACATTAATGTCTGTGTGTTGAGTTATTTTGAGGGGACAGCAAATTTTTTTGAGGGGACAGCAAACTGTTATACAATCTGTACACTCACTACTTTACATTGTAGTAAAGTGTCATTTATTCAGTGTTGTCATATGAAAAGATATAATAAAAAATTTACAAAAATGTGCGGGGTGTACTCACTTCTGTGAGATACTGTAAGCGTGAAGTGAGAATCTCTTTACATTTCTGGTTATAGAACTGCTTTTATTAGGCGATTTGTTTTATTTCTTGGACATTCTTACAGCTTTTCGAAACAATTTAGATTTTTTGGAGTGCAAAAGATACTTAAAATCCTGTTAATAATGTTTTCTTTAAGTGGCATTCTTGCTTGTAGTAGGTGAAGATGTTGTAGCGGGTGAACATTTCCTCCTTCGTCAGTAAATGCTTTACTCTCGTCTAAATGTAGTCGAGCGCTATAGTAAATGTCGAAACCTCACATATGTGAGCCTATGCAGCTCCTTTGCCCATGGCGTTAGGCTTTAGTAAATGAACCCCACAATTCCATAGGTTTGACAATTAGCAAAAAAACCTAGGCATGCAAAATGCAATAACAGTAGTTACATCTGCCACAGGGAGTATCACATGATCACTCTTGTATTTTGGGACTGGATTTCACTTTGTTACTATGAATCAAAGCAATTCTGTCCTGGTTCTGGGCACGATTATAGGCCTTTTTGGGGCACGTTTTACTGTAATCTCATTCGCTCAAACATTTTTGTAAAGCCCTGGCCTCAAACTCAAAATCATATTCCTTTGTACAACTCCATTTAATTCTTAGATACTCTCGCTGTATAAAATACTGGAAACTAAAGAGGAGGGGTGCAAACTAAAAGCATGTAAAATTGTATTCCCTGAGGATCTATAAAAGGGATGGGCCAAGACTACCATCTGAGTTTACAAAAATCTGTATGTCTAAGAAAGTAACAGAGCGTTAATTCATTGTAAAATTCAGATTAAAGGTATTCTGTTCGAGCACTGTCATAAAGCTATATAGCTCGTCCAGGGAGCCCGCGCAGATAAGTAGTATGTCATCATATTACCTTATTGGGTCTTTCCTGCAGATCATCTCTCGATAAAAAGTCATGCTACCACTGCCCCAGGTACAGACTGGCATAGGACGGGACACAAGACCCCGTCGCTACACCCAACACCTGGAGGTAGTGAGAGTGTCTGAGCATAAAGATGTTGTGAGTAAGAATAAAGAACAACAGATCTAAGATGAACTAATTTATGGGCTGGCAGGCTGACCCCGTTCAGGTAGGAAGCTCTCCACAACTTGCACCTCATGAGTATGTAGGATTGATTTGTAGAGAGACTCCACGTCAACGGCAACCAGCCAGGCGCCCTCAGGAAAACAAATGCCATCCAAAATTTTGAATACATAAATGGTATCCTTAACGTAATAAGTCAGAGCCCTAACATGTGGACGTACATAATCGTTCACAAGTTGACTAGCCATTTCAGTAAGGCATCCCTTACCAGAGACAATGGGTCTTCCGAAGGGATGGGAAACATTTTTGTGAATTTTCAGTAAAGCATACAAATTGGGAGTTTTGGAGTGTTAGAGATTCAATAACCCCCCGCTAAAAATAACTTAAAAAATGAATAGCCCATTAAGAGATAAAACAAACAAAAACAGCTTTTATTGCAATATTCAACTTTAATTGAGGATTGCGATTCTACGAAGCCAAGCACCTTTCTTTGAATCCCAATGTTTCATTGAGGGCACAGTGCTGCCTATCACAGTATACATTAAGAGCTGATTCCCACATATGCGGTGCGGATTGAAGCTCAGGTTTCACAACTAATTGATACAGCAGCTGCTCACAGGTTCACGTCTTGTTTACATCAGGTTCAGGACAGGATTAAGTCAGGATCTTATCCTGTTCACACATATGCGGTTTAGGAACGGTTCCCATAAAAGTCTATAGCCTGTAATCCGCACTTGAACAGGACTGCACTGCTCAGAAATCAGACATGACTCTTTTTAAAACTGCACTGAATCTGCACCGGCAGTGCGCTGGACATGTGTGAACAGGCACCATAGGAAGCAATGTTTTTTCACGTCATGCAGATTGGAGGTGGTGCAAACCACATCTAATCCGCATATATGTTAATTGTCTCTTAAGGCATTCCTAAACATGTGTCAGGAGAAATGGCTGTTTAATACAACTGCCCATATATACGGACACTAATCACTAAAACATGGCAAACATTACAGAACAAGATGCTCTCCAGTTATAAAGTTCCCTTTTACGGTCTGCTTCTGTGCAGCTGACCCTGTGATGATCTCTGCATCCGACTGAAGAACAATCAGAACCAAATTTAGGGCTCTACGCCATGCTTCCAGCTTTGGGACCACATTATCATACACTCTGGGTCTATGTGATGAGGGAAATTCTTGACTATCAACTAAAACAAGGTTTCTGACATACTCGTTTACAATATATGAAGAGGGAGAAGAAAAATCTCTAATGATCTTTAGTTCATTATTTATAAATGTCATTGCTTCCAGCTCTGAAGAGCATTTGTCCATGTTACAGAGAAGAACAGAAATATATTTAAAGAAACCATCAGCAAGGCACTTATATATATAACCTTTGTAATGTATGGCAGTAGTAGAAAGCCATGATGAGGGATAAGATCCTTTACTGTCCAAACTGAACGTTCCAGCCATTTCCTCAAGTTTTCTAAGATGGTTGAGGCACAACAGTTCAACCGCACCTCCACCAGGAAATACTTTTTGGTCATAAAGGGCATGGTGTAATCTATAAGTGCAGGCCCAAAACTCATCTTCCAGTAATTCCTCTTTTGCTGACCAACTGCAACTTAAAACAACTGTGACAAAATTCAAACCTTTTGCCTTGACATTAACAGCAATCTCCTGACCAGATTCTAAAATGGAACTTCCCCGCATGCATATACTTATATTCACATTGCAGCCTATGCTGTTGCTATTGATCTGTGCTAGGTATGTCACAGATTCTGCCCCCGTGCATTCACTAAATGCCAGCAGGACATTTTGTTGTACATGAGGGATAACTAGAACACCCCTACAACTGCACTGTATCATAAACTGTTGACACACATCACCTCTTACTAAAATTAAATCAATACCAGCATAAATAATTTTCTTACATACAGTATTTATCCAGGAGTGATCACGTTCACTTTTCTCACTACTTTTAAACTCAGCTATTGACCTCACATTTGTTGCCTTGTTGAAACCTACATGCCGATAATTCTCAGTCACGTCTCCATCCACAAGAAGGACTTTCAAAGATTTGTCCTCTAAGTTTTTGACCAAAGCATAATTTTCTGCAGTCACTAAAGTAGTGTACCCCAAGGAAGCATTTGAGAACGCCTCTGATTGACCTTTTAAAAAACAAAGTTCAAGCCACGATGCCTGAAAGAAATTCTTAGTGACAGATTGTGTCTCAGCACTTTCACAGAGATGACGAACGGCCTCTTCCACAAGATTCATGGCTTCCAAACTTCCATGACTTAAAGATCGTGTCAAACCCATTAAAGTATGATTATTGGTGGGAAGTGTTGATCCGGAACTGTGAAAGCCGCTTCTGTTTGAGACTGAGAAGTGTCTGCTATGAGAGAGCCTATTCATTTGACAAGCCTGGCCTCTTAAGAATCCTGTTTGAGTATGAGTAAATTGCATTTGCATCCTGTTTTTAGGCAGGTGATCTGAATGATGAAAACCAGATGTAACAACAGGTTGATCCATGCAGGAAACGGAGTGATTTTTGCTACTTGGAATACAATCATTGCTGTCATCTCTTGCAAGTATCTGATTATTAGAATTTAGGTTAGTTACAAGTACACGCTCAAGTTTTATGTGTAAGGATTCAACTATTTCAATACAAGAGTTAAGTCCTTCTAGCATTATTGAAACAACCAGTGAAACAGGTACTCCTTGATCAAGACATTCCAATACAGCTTTGCTCCAAGCTCCAACAAGAAAAAGCAATGATGTTGTACCAGTTTTGTATGTCTTATGGTGGGCTTGAATAGTTTCATAAAGAAGTTGACCAACTGCACCTGTTAAGTCTAGATTCCCCAAAAGGCGAAAAGCTGAGCAAGTTATAGAACTCTCTTGGGTATCTTGGTCGTATATAAACTTGTATGATTTAAGAGGTCCAAGGAAGGACTTTACTGAAGATGACAGGTCACATAACTCTTTAAGTCCAATGTGAGTTCTGATTGCCATAGTCCCTGTATGGCTTGCAACTTATACCTGTGTTTAAACAGAATACAATTAATAAACACTGTAAATAACCTTTTTCAGTATATTACAATTGATTTTACAGTTTTTATTATTACTATGATCGTTTTCAGTCCAGACTTTAAAAGTGTCTTCAAGAATAGTGATATTCACTTTTAGCCCCCAGTCACATCAAAGCAGATTTTGAAATCATGAGACTTACAGTGAAGTCGCACAATTTCAAAATCGGATGAGCTGCCGATTTCAGTTGCGATTTGCAAGACATCTGACACAGATGTCTATGCAAATTGCAACAAAAGTAGTGCACGCACTACTTTAGAAATTGGTGGAGCTCCAACCAAGTCGGAACCGCACCGATATGACCACTCTAATAGTGGACAATAGGGTGCATACTTGGCAAATCTCATGCCAAATTGCACCCGATGTGACCGGGATGTAAAGAGCAGAGAAAAGTTTTGTTACCTTTTCGCTCTGTCCCATCCAAAACTCTGTACTTAAGGATTTTGTATTCCTACCCAAGCCCTCTACAATGTTTACACACTTTGTGCCAGCTACTTAACTTGGTTTCCACATGCACAGTAGAACCCTATATAACCCTATAGAGCCATGAGACAAGAGAGAATCCGTGAAATATAGAGGTTTGGAAAGTGAGGGTGTGTTACTTCAGTGGGTGGCAGCAAAAGGGTACACATTAATCTGTCCTATGTGCCTCTTGCACAACAAATGCTATTAACGATTGTCACTGCTCCCATGTAGATACCTCCACAGCCTTTAGTGAAACCATGTGCGTACCAATTTCAATTCGTACCACACTTCATTCTCCATATTTATCAGTGCTTCACGTTACGTGATTTATTGGTTCACCTCTGTCTTGGACCCATATTGCATATAGGTCTTACTGCACTTAATCCTCTCTCGTGGATTGAGTTTGCTCTCCTCACTGGCTCTTGGATTCAGACCCACTTTTGTGTAGGTCCCTTTAAGAGGTTACCCCCTCTGACAATGGTTGAGGATGGTGCTCAAATTTAAAAAAAAAAAAAAAAAAAAAAAAATAAGGGACTACTTATACATTATTACCATAAAGCAGGGCTTGACAAATTTACTTTGAATCAGGAGCCAGCTAAAAACTTACAAGCCAGGTTTTTTTAGCGTAGCATGGGTTGTCATCACCCAGGGCAAGGCATTGTTTGGGTGGCAAAGCTTCACATGATGTGATTTGCTGCGTGACAATCACGACAAAACCACACCCCGTTTCAGGTGCCATTGAAAAGAATGGCACCTGAACCTGTATTTCGTCATCACAGCAATTCTGCCATGATCCCAAAACACCAAGATGTGAATGGAGCCACCCTGGTTCACACATATGCCATTCTGGATGCATTGTCAAATTCACAGATTCGCAAGGCCGCATGGTGGACTAAATATTATGTATTCCTATTGAGCTGGTTCACACAGATGTGTTTTACATGCAATGTGTTTGAGAGCCATTACAAAGAGGGTCCTGTGCAAATTTGTAGTGAGGTGTTCCAGACTAGTCAGCGATAGAGTAGAGTGGCATGCAGAGATAAGTGTTCAGATAGGATTGCTATTGGGCAGGATTTTTTATATTGAAGTCAATGGGGGGGCGTTTTTGCATTGAAGTCAATAGGGGGCGTTTTTTCATTGAAGACAATGAGACGTGATTTTGCACTGAAGTCAATGAGACGTGATTTTGCACTGAAGTCAATGAGACGTGATTTTGCATTAACCTCCCTGGTGATATTTCCAAGTGTAGCTCAGGGTTAACTTTCAGTACCAGAAGCGGTAACCCCCAGCTACACTCCGGATTGCCCTGCAGCATTGCTCTGGGATCCCTCCAACACTTACCTTGTCCTGTGGTCCGGCGATGTCCCCCCTGCAGCCATCTCCTCCAGCCGATGCCAGCATCCATCTTCCAGATTCCGTTCCCTGTGAGCGTAGGGACGTACGGGGGACAGAACCAGCGGGAATTGTAAAAATTTGACATTCACTCAATACACTAAAATCTTATAGGATTACATTACTGTATCAAACCATTCCACATACATTTTGTCCCTAGTGCTTTGTCCTGTGCCCTGCCTGCATTTTTACTGTTCTTTCTGCCTGGAAACTGAGAAATGTCCATGGAGTCCAAAAAGCGTCCCTTTAGGGCAAAAACAGTTTTAGACCAGCTAGAGAACACCGATAGCAAATTAGAACTACTTGCAGAATTGAGTGATGATTCGTGGGGAAATTCGTCATCAGACACTGAAAACGATTTTGCGACTAAGATCAGTGATGTGCGAACTTGGTGCTCTATTTCATATTTCAGTGTTTTTGGATTATATTATTGAATTAAATGTATTATTATAATATTTTTTTATGATTATTTATATTATAATTTATGACTTTGTGTTTCAAATTTTATCATAACCGGGATGTTTACTAGACTCTTGTTCAGACAGATTTCAGTGAGTTATTCCTAAGAATTACAGGCCTACAATACAAAAGCAACATATTTCCATTGAAAACAATGCACCACTTTGAACACAGAAATGCTGACATAATCAGACCGCTAGGGAGGTTAAAGTTAATAGGGGGCGTTTTTGCATTGAAGTTAATGGAACTCCATTTTGCATTGAAGTCAATGAGGCCCAATTTGCATTGAAGTCAATGGGACACGATTTTGCATTGTAGTAAAACACTACTGCAGTGTCTATATACATTCACAAACAATTACAGTGATTCCAAACTGGAAATGCCATCCCCTGGCTCTGCCTGGAATGTTGTGTCACTGGTTACGTGATTTCTTCAGGGGTTCAGGGTTGAGGTGTGTGCTACACACAGAGTGCAGAGTTCAAAGGCGTGCCACATATAGTGTGCAGGGTTCAGAAATGTACTGCGTACAGACTGCAGGGTTCAGGAGTGCATATCTCACAGGCCAGTTTACACTCCTCTTTCTTAGGACAGGGCTCTCCACCTGAATTCTCACTCTTCCCACCTTCCCTTCCAGAACAGAGCTCTCCTTCCTGTCCAGTACAGAGTGCTTTCTCCTCCCCTTCCAGTACACATGCTCTCCTCCCTGTCCAGTACACATGCTCTCCTCCACAAAAGAGAAGATACAAGTTACAGTAGAACTGCAGGTTGCAGGACTAGAGTACAGACCCCATCCCCCGTCATCATGTGCAAAGCAGGGAAGGATTTGAGCGCCGCTGCAGAAGAGTGCTTTCACTTGTAAACACAGAAACTGGGCTTCTGTGTTTAATAACCTCCCTAGCGGTCTGATTGTGTCAATATTTCTGTGCTCAAAGCGGTACATTTTTTGCATGGAAATATGTTGTTTTTTTTATTGTAGGCCTGTAATTCTTAGTAATAACTCACTGAAATCTGTCCAAACATCCCGGGTATGATAAAATTTGAAACACAAAATCATAAATAATAAAAAAATATAATAATACAATATAATTCAATAATGCAACCAACCTAAAACCACTGAAATTTGATATATAGCACCATGTTCGCACATCACTGAGCTTAGTCACAAAATCGTTTTCAGTGTCTGATGACGAATTTCCCCACGGATCATTATCACTCAATTCTGCAAGTGGTTCTAATTTACTATCGCTGTTCTCTAGCTGATCTAAAACAGCTTTTGACCTAAAGGGACGCTTTTTGGATGCCATGGACGTTTCTCAGTTTCCATGCAGAAAGAACAGTAAAAATGCAGGAAGGGTACAGGACAAAGCACTCGGGACAAAATGTATGTGAAATGGTTTGATACAGTAATGTAATACTATGAGAATTTAGTGTATTGAGTGAATGTCAAATTTTAAAATTTTTAAAATTTCCCGCTGGTTCTGTCCCCCGTACGTCCCAACGCTCGCAGGGACCAGAACCCGGAAGATGGATGCCGGCATCGGCCGGAGGATATGGCCGGGGACGCTGCAGGGGGGACTTCGCGAGAGCGCAGGACAAGGTAAAAACTGGAGGGGATCCCAGAGCAACGCTGCAGGGTACTGCCGGGTGTAGCTTGGGGTTACCGCTTCTGGTACTGACAGTTAACCCCAGGCTACACTCGGGAATACCGCCAGGGAGGTTAAGTGGCAGTATTGGGTGGAAATGCAAGGGGCCAGCTGCAAAGAAGCACTGCTTCTGACTGCTAAAGTGGCTCCAAAACGTCGCTTCCATGTGATTAATAAAGTTGAACCCGAGATAAATATTGTCTAAATACAAGACGCGTATTCTTACTTCCATCTTGCTGTGCTTTGTGATAGGACACTATTCCTCCTACTGACACTAACGATGGAGCTCTATTCCTCCCACTGACACCAACAATGGGGCACTATTTCTCCCACTGACACCAACAGTGGGGCACTATTTCTCCCACT